GTCGCTAAAATCATCAAAATACCGAATTTCGGGGGTACCGTTATATGGGGGCTATACGAAGACGTGTACCTACATTGCCCATTTTCTGTCTTAAGCCGTAGCATCTATTACGAACTTTAAATATTAATTTTGAAACAATTCCGGTAAAAAATGTCGCTAGAATAATCAAAATACCGCATATCGGGAGGTACCGTTATATAGGGGGATATACGAAGACGTGGACCTACATGGCCTATTTTCAATATCAAAAATCCTGCAGACATAGTACACATTTGAGTAAAATTGTATCAACCTACTTCATTTTGTTCGGAAGCTAGAGTGATTTCCACAGATGGAAATCGACATAGAATTTTATGCTGATCAAGAATATATATATACTTTGTGGAATCTAAAAATTATATTTCGAGGTGTTACAAATGGAATGACAAACTTAATATACCCTGCATACTATGGTGGAGGGTATATAAAAAATGATACATTCCATTAGAATTAACATGCCAAAATAACTTACTTTTATAATAAAACTAACAAGTGCCGCAACGTGATTGGCCTTTTTATACCCACCACCATAGTATGGTGAATGTGTATTAGGTCTGCAGGATTTTGGATTATATAGGTCCAGTGTGTCGACTGATTCTTTGGGGTATTTTATGAAAATTTTTACACGAATTTGTTGTAAATTTGCAGTACATGTTCGCAGTATGTAAGAAAAATCCTTGTATAGAAATGTCAATATAAAACTTAAGTTTGCTATAGTCCTCATATAAATTTACCTCCAGATATTCGGTATTTTGATGATTTGTGTCACACTTTTCACTGGAAATGTTTCATATTTGGAATTTGAAATTCCTAATGGGCACTACAGCTTATGTCAGAAAGTTGCTCATTCAGGTCCACGTCTTTGTATAGGACCCAAAATAACGGTAACTTTTTAGGTTCGGAATTTCGATGATTTTAGCGACATTATTCGCCGGAATTATTTCAAGTTTCATATTTAAAGTTCCTAATGAATACTACTGCCTATGACAGAAAGTGGCATATGCAGGTCTAGGTCTTCGTATAGCCTCTATATAACGGTACCTCCCTATATGAGATATTTTGATTATTTTAACGACATTGAGTACCAGAATTGTTTCAAATTTAGCATTGTAGGTCCAAATGGGCACTATAGCCTATGGCAGAATGTTGCCTATGCCTGTTCACGCCTTCGTATAGACACCAATATAACTTCCTATATTCGGATTTTTTTTTAGGAAAATCAAACAAAAAGTCTTCCAAATCTTACATTTTGAAGTTTAACGAGGAGGATATGTAAAACCAATGTACAATGGGTCACATCAAATCTTTCTGTCCAAAACCTTTTCAATATCTCCATATGTAAACCCTAGAAATCAAAAGTGACCTTAATGTCAATTTGCTCTATCCCTTCTCCCAATACCATATTTGGTAACATTAAGTAGGCATATCCATTTGCTCTATCCCTTCACCCAATACCATATTTGGTAACATTAAGTAGGCATATCCAAACCCATTTACATTGCTCTATCCTAGACATCAACAGTGATCCAAGATTGGTACCATTTAGTACTTTTCGAACAATTATAGTACACATTTAAAAGACCACTAACAGATCTCAACACCAGATACCAATAGAGACCTCAAAATCAAGTTTAGTTTCAATTTAGTACTTTTCAATGAACTATAGTACGTTATAGTATAGTTTCCGAAACCATGCCCATATATCAGCCCTATATGCCAATAGAGACCTCAATATCAAATTTTGGGATTCCAGCTCTATTCTTTCATCAAATACTCAATTTAGTATCACTTAGTACTTTTCGAACAATTGCAGAGTGAGATGAAAAAACTGCAACTAACTTCAGACTGCTGTCATTTCCAAGCCACTCGTCCGACAGCTGTTAAAATTATTCCAGTGACAGCTTATTATATTGTTTACAAGCGTACACAAGCAATTTGGTGAGAATTTTCCAGAAAAAAAATTATTCGTGATAGAATTTAAGCGTGATAGTGTGATTTCTTTATATTTGGCTGGAAAACCACAAGTAGCTATCGTTATCGGAAGAAAACAGCAACATCAGCAGAAATGGTTCGAAAAGTAAATAAGCGACTTGATTGAAACCCGCGTCGCAGACCTTGGACATTCCAACGGGACTCAGCACCATCGCACTCAGCACGCGCCACCAAGAATGGTTACAAATGAGGTTCCTCGCTACCAAAGGCCACCAAAATCTCCGGATGCCAATGCGTTGGACTATTGTGTCTGGAGTATTTTAGAAAGCAAAATTGGCACTAGAAAATATCAAAGTGTCGGTCACCTCAAGCAAGCGCTTCGCCGGGAATGGGCCAAAATATCGCAGAGCAACATTCTTGCAGCGTGTGACGGTTTCATTGGCCATTTCGTGCCAAATGTGACCAATTCGAACAAGTCTAAACTTATTTTAAAATTTGATGCTATTTCCGACATTTTTGCTTTCATTCAATAAAATAAAAAAATGTAAAAAATTATGGCTATTAAGATTTTGTTGCAGTTTTTTATCTCACCCTGTATAGTACGGATTTCCAAAATTAAATACTCTTTCGTAGTTCTCATAAAAAACGACGCATTCCCAGACCACTGCCATATCTCAAACACAGATACCATCAGTAATCTTAATATTAAATTTCAGAATGATAATTCTACCCCTCCAGCCAATACCAAATACAGGGTTTGCCCATATTCGACGGACCCATCTGGCAACGCCATAACTTTTGACAGAGATGTCACATCGCTTAATGACATACCGCGTTTGAAGCGTCAGTCCAAGCAGATTTTTACCATGAACCAATACGCGCCACGCGAGCGCTCTGAGATTTACATTCAACAGAAGAAGTCAATTGTGAAAACTCAACGTGCTTTAAAAACATTAAAAAAAATGTGAGAAGTGCGCCTTCTAAGAACACCATTAAGCGTTTATACGAAAAAATTTGGACTGGTAAGGCTTTTTCTAATCCGAAGAGGCCATATAAAAGTCGACCAAGGCGATAAGCCGAGAATATCGCTGCCGTACGAGCCAGTGTTGAGAGGTCCCCAAGAACATCCCAAAAACGCCGTTCTCAGCAGTTGGGCATGGCTCGGTCCACTTTACAATGGATTATTCGCACCGTACAAAATTCAATTGACGCAAAGAATGTTGCCTGCGGACAAGCCTCGTCGATTGGAATGGGCCCAAAGGTCCGTCGAATATGGGCAACCCTGTAAACCTCCTCCATATGTCCAGAATACACATGAACAGCGACCCTAAAACGACATTTCAGATTTCAATCTGTTCACCAAATACCAAATTATACCGAATATAGTGCTAGTTAGTACTTTTTATGCACTTCTAGTACACATTCCCAAAATCACTTCCATATTTCTATTCCAGATGTCAACAGTGAACCCAATATAAAATGTCTGAATTTCAGTTCTATCCCTGCACCCAATGCCAAATATAGTACCATTCAATACTTTTCGTACAATTATAGTACACATTTCCGAAACCACCTCCATACGTCTAGGCTGCACATGAGCACCGACCCTAATACCAAATGTCTGGTTTCAATCTCTGTCCGTTCACCAGATATCAAATTGTACTAAACATAGTACTATGTAGTACTTTTCGTGCGCTTGTACTACATATTACCGAAATCACTTCTTTATGACAAACTTACCACCAACAAAGACCACAGTATCATTTTTAGAATTGAAGCTTCATCGGATCATACTAAACCAAAATCTTCCAAATTTAGTACCATTTTGTACAGTTCTTAAACTTAGTACAAATTTTCACTTAGTACCCGATATCGTGGACCTATATAGACAATTCTCTTTCAAGGGTAAAGTACTCACAAGGAACTCATTGTGTATATTTTCAGACTATTTCATTGAAAAATGTGGCTAAAACCATAAAAATACCGAATATCGGAAGGTGCCGCTGTACGATATCGTGAACCTATCTCTTTCAAGGGGTAAACAATTCCGTTGAAAAATGTGGCTAAAATCTTCAAAATACCGAATATCGGGAGGTACCGTTATATGGGGGCTATACGATATCGTGGACCGATATAGCCCATCTTCGAACCTGACCTGTCTGCAGACAAAAGACTGATATGTGCAAAATTTTAGCTTTCTATCTTAATTTGTTTTGACTGTAGCGTGATTACAACAGACGGACGGACGTACAGGGCTAAATTTTACGCTGATCAAGAATATATATACTTTGTTGGGTCTAAAATTGTTATTTCGATGGAATGACGAACTTACCATGTCTGGTGGAGGTTATAAAAATAATTTATTTAAATAAATTAAATCTATTAATTTTCCGATCTGTTTCAGCATTTTCCCTCTAAAACAAAAAAAAAAAAAAAAACAATTGAAATACCTCGCCAGTGTTTGATCCAAATCTCATTTCGTTTTCAAAAATTTCCACGTGACAGTTGTGTTTTTTTTTTTGCCTAATTTGACATATGACACAATCCATAAAACTAACCTAATGCCACACAAATGTAACGTCGTCATGATCTGAATATTTTGTTTGAAGTTTTCCATATTGTTTGTTCAAATGGAAAGAAAAAAACTTTGAAAATTTCAACAAATATTATGGCTCACTAGATGTTATGATGATGACGTTTATGATGTGGATGTGGATGATGATGATGGCTGTAAAGGTGTAGTGACCCCGTTCAAATATAAAAGCCAATATGCTGTGGCACGTTCGTAATGACCAGCAAACAACAACTTCAACAATTGTTTAAATAGTTATTTTTTTCTTTTTTTTTGTGTTCATTTTCGATACACAATGGAAATAATAATTTTGTATAAATATAAAAATGTATGGGATACACGTTTGTGTGTGTGTTTTTTTTTGTTGTACACACATATGGTAAATGTATGTGATCTACACATAATAACATCGTTAGGAGATTATTTGTAATAAATGTGGCTAAGCTACATTTCATACCTTTTAAGAGTACCAATCGATGGATGAATGCCACGAATAAAACCAGGGAACTATATTGAAGCACGTGAATCTAAAAAATAATAAAAATTTTAAAAAAATGTGGAAAATTAAAAAATATATATATATATATATATATATATAAAATATAACGAGTCGACTACATCCACCTATCATGATTCAGCTATCGACAAATACCACCCGCATATCCAGCCGAACACATATCACAAAAAAATATGATTGAGGCGACTATCATCGAGCTTAAACACACGATATACAGGGTGAGATAAAAACACTGCAACAAAGTCAAACGCCATAATTTTTACAATATTTTTAATTTAATTGAATGAAACAAAAAATTTCAGAAATAGCATCAAATTTTAGAATAAGTTTTGATTTGTTCAAATTTGTCTGCTTTGGCACGAATTTGGCCTTCAAACGGCCAATGAAACCTTCACACGCTGCCCGAATGTTGCTCTGCGATATTTTGACCCATTCCTGGCGAAGCGCTTGCTTGAGGTGATCGACACTTTGGTACCAGCCTTGCTTTCCAAAATATTCCAAACACAATATTCCAACGGATTGGTATCCGGAGATTTTGGTGGCCAGTGTGGAAATGAAGCGAGGAACCTAATTTTGTAACCATTCTTGGGTGGCGCGTGCTGAGTGCGATGGTGATGAGTCCTTTTGGAAAGTCCAAGGTCGGCGGCCAAAATATTTACATTCCCAAGGCTTTAATACACCCTCCAGAATATTTTCGCGATAATATTCGGCATTTATTCTGATGCTACGGTCGATTAATACGAGCGCAGAGCGACCAGCGGCTGTTATGGTGGCCCACACCATCACCATGGCTGGCGCTTGAGTTCTGGTGGCCAACCGAAAGTGCACATTTTCAGCTGACCTCCTTAGAAAGTAAACACGATCATTTTGTTTGTTTAAAAAACTGCTGGACAACGAATGTTTTCTCATCGGAGAAAACCAAATTCGTCAGTTCACCACTTTCAGCCAAGCAAACTCTTTAGTTCTTTTGAGTCTATATTTTTATACCCTACACCACATAATGGTAAGGGTATTATGTCTTTGTGCATTTGTTTGTAACATGGAGAAGGAAACGAGATAGACCCATAGTTACTTTTGAGAACCTTCATAGAATCACTTTCTGAGTCGATTTATGCATGTCCGTCCGTCTGTCCGTCCGTCCGTCCGTCCGTCCGTCCGTCCGTCCGTCTGTCCATGTATTCTTGTGAACAACATGCAGGTCGCATTTATTATCCGATTGAGATGAAATTTTCCAAACAATATTTATTTGACCCAAGGACGAACCCTATTGAAATTGGTGAGAATCGGATCAAATTTAGATATAGCTCCCATATATACCTTCATCCGATTTCGGGTTAAATGAGCACGAAATGTCCACTATCAGTCCAAATTACCTGAATTTTGGCACACCCAACCGAGTTCGGCCTAGAAGCAAGTATATCAAATTTTGAGAAAATCGGTTCAGATATAGCAATAGCTCCCATATATATCTTTCATCCGATTTGATCTTTAAGTCCCTCACATTCCTACTATGCACTCCACAACCGTGATATTTGGTACCAGGTATTAGATGGAGCACAGAAATAGCTGTTTTAAATTTTATCGAAATCGGTTCAGATTTGGATATAGCTCCCATATATATCTTCATCCGATTTCGGGTTAATTGACCACCAAATGGCCAATATCAGCCCAAATGGCCCGAATTTTGGCACATGTGACCGAGATTAGCCTTAAAGTAAATACAACAAATTTGGAGAAAATCGGTTCAGATTTGGATATAGCTCCCATATATATCTTCATCCGATTTCGGGTTAATTGTGCTCCAAATGGTCGATATAAGCCCAAATGGACTGAATTTTAGTACATCGGACCAAATTCAGCCTAGAAGCAAGTATATCAAATTTAGTGAAAATCGGTTCAGATATAGATATAGCAAGCATATATATGTTTCATCCGATTTAGTGTTTTAGTCCCCTACATTCGTAATGTTCACTCCACAACCGTGATATTTGGTACCAGATATACGGTACGGCCCAGAAATAGCTGTTTGTAATTTTATCGAAATCGGTTCAGATTTGGATATTGCTCCCATATATATCTTCATCCGATTTCGGGTTAATTGTGCACCAAATGGCCGATATAAGTCCAAATGGACTGAATTTTAGTACATCGGACCAAATTCAGCCTAGAAGCAAGTATATCAAATTTAGTGAAAATCGGTTCAGATATAGATATAGCAACCATATATATGTTTCATCCGATTTAGTGTTTTAGTCCCTTACATTCGTAATGTTCACTCCACAACCGTGATATTTGGTAACAGGTATTAGATGGAGTACAGGAATAGCTGTTTTAAATTTTATCGAAATCGGTTCAGATTTGGATATAGCTCCCATATATATCTTCATCCGATTTCGGGTTATTGACCACCAAATGGCTGTAATAGCATCAATTTTGGCAAATCCGACCGAAACCAGCTTAGAAGCAAGTACACCAATTTTAGAAAAAATCGGTTCAGATATAGCTATAGCTCCCATATATATGTTTCATCCGATTTCGTCTTTAAATTCCTCACATTCGTAATATGCACTCCACAGAAATGATATTTGGTACCAGTTATCAGATAAAGCCCAAAAATAGTTGATTTTAATTGTATTAAAATTTGTTCCGATTTGGATATGCCCCTCATATATGTATCTTCATCCGATTTCGTGTTAATTGTGCATCAAATGGCCAATATCAGGCCAAATGGCATGAATTTTGGCAAATCCGACCGAAAACAGCCTATAGGCAAGTACACACATTTTAGTAAAAATCGGTTCAGATATAGCTCTAGCTCCATATATATGTTTCATCCGATTTGCTCTTTAAGTCCCTTACATTCGTAATATACTCTTCACAGGAATGATATTTGGTACCAGATATCAGATAAAGCCCAAAAATAGTCGATTTTGATTTTATAAAAATCTGTTCAGATTTGGATATAGTATAGCATAGCATACTCTTCACAGGAATGATATTTGGTACCAGATATCAGATAAAGCCCAAAAGTAGTCGCTTTTAATTTTCTCAAAATCTGTTCAGATTTGGATATAGCACCCATATGTATCTTCATTCGATTTCGAGTTAATTGTGCAACAAATGGCCAATATCAACCGAAATGGCATGAATTTTGGCATATCTGGCCAAATTCAGCCTGGAAGCAAGGACACCAATTTTAGTAAAAGTCGTTTCAGATATAGCTATAGCTCCCAAATATATCTTCATCCGATTTCGGATTAAATGTGCAGCAAATGGCTTATATTGGTACATTAAATTTAGTGAAAATCGGTCGGATACAGCTATAGCTCCTATATATACCTTTCATCCGATTTGTACTTTAAGTCCTTCAAATTCGAAAAATGTACGATACAAAAATAATATTTGGTATCAGATGCAGCCAAGAAATATCTTCTTTTTCAGTTTTACAAATATCGGTTCAGATTTGGATATACCTCCTATATATATCTTCATCCAATTTCGTGTTGATTGTGCACCAAATATCCAATATCAGCCCAAATGTCCTTGGTTTTGGCAAATCTGACCGAATTCAGCCTAGAATCAAATACATCAAACTTGGTGAAAATCGGTTCAGATATAGCTATAGTTCGTAAAATGCACGATAGAATTAGATAGATTTTGATTTTGTACCAAATATCTCATAGAGCTCTGAAATGCTCTGTATAAACCTTTTTACGAGAGCTCTACTAATTATGCATAGTGGTGTAGGGTATCATATAGTCGGCCCCGCCCGACTTTTGAGCTTTCCTTACTGGTTTATGTTGCGGTGTAGGTTCTTGCACTTTACCCCGGCTTTACCCCGAATTCATTTTCCAACATTTGCCGAATGAAATATTGCAGTATGTTAAGCTCACGAGCCATTTAGAAATGACAGCAGTCTGAATTTGATTGTAGTTTTTTCATGTCACCCTGTATATGCCAATAACTTCAAATAACGAATAATGAATTAAACTTAGCCACTCGTATTTTAACTTAAGTTTTTGGGGTCCTCGCTAAAAATTCTCATAAATTGTGAAATTTGTATTCGATTTTTCTTCAAACTTTGAAAAATTCATAATTATGCCCCAAATATTTCTAATGTGAAGGTGGGACGAATCGGTTCAACCCTTCCGGTAACTCTAAGGCAAATGGACAAAACTTTGAAAAATCGTGAATTATTTGCACAACCTGAGGCCAACCAAATGTTGAGGAAATATATGAGTCATCAAATCGAATTATAATTTTAAACTTCTAAACATAAAAATTAATTTCCAGCTTTAAAAATTTTATTACCCACAAATAATCTTCACCCTGACCGTAACCTCATTTTGAAAAATACTTCATATACAGCTGTTATTTCTGGTGTGGTATTTTATTTTCTTATTTTTCAATAAATATAAAAATATGCAATATTATGTCAACTTAATGTACACATCAGGTTTTGCAATAACTCCAATTCTGTTCTTTCTATTATTAGAAGCAATTGTATAAATTGACTTCTAAACGATATCTGAAAACTTCCACTGGAATTTTACCGTTAATATTGCTTAAAATTTTGCATAACATATCAAATTCATTTAAATTAACTTATATACATATTTTTTTATGTACATTTCATAAAAAGTATATATGTGTGTGTATTACTAAGTCACAGACGTTCAAAAGTTGAAGGTTAAGAAATGTGCATAATTTAAATGTTCTATAGGCAATCAAATTGAGAATCTCAATTGACAAAGACAAGAAACTTTGCCGCCAATTTTCAAGCATTTTTGCTTTCGTTTCAATACCAGATATCAACTATTAATGAGAATACCAAAAAAAAGCACTTAAATAGAAATTTTGGCTTGTCACTCACACATACATACAATTCACACACAATTTATTCTATTCTTAAAAAGAAAACTACTACCACTATCTCTTCATGGAATTCAAAATGTTGCTCTATCAATACGCGCATACCTTCCTACAAGAGTTCAAAGGCCTTTGATTTTG